CCCCCCCCCGTGCAGAGAAGCCCCGCCCGCGCACCTGCCCACCTGTGCGCCTCCCGCAGGGCTGATTCACCCCTCCTGTGCGGTGCAGGGAGCCAGTGCTCCCTCCTGCAGTACACCCGGCCGGCAGAGCAGCTAGCGCACTTCTGGAATCACCGGAAGTGGCGCTAAACTGTGGGACTTCTGAAACCGACACTAGCTCCGTTCTCTCTTGAGGTAAGTAGTGGGGCTTCTGGGGGGTGGGAGGGAAATGGGGGCGGACAGGACGCCTCGCGAGTGACTGGTCAAGGCCTCGCGATCGACCAGTAGCTCGCGATCAACCTGTTGGTGACCACGGGCCTACTTGGTCTGGTGGGTTGCACAATGGTCTGTTCATGTGGGTGCACGTGGAGTGCCAGTGTGGAGCACTCAGCCCCATGACACTCACACAAGAACCCTTCGCTCATTCTCACAAAGTTCCCAGAGAGGCCTGCCTTACTCCAGCCTCCATGGTGGGACACCTTCCCATGACAAACCACCACTAAGTAGTCTGGGGTCATTGAACCACACAGCAGTGCAGCACACGGCCCAGGGTCATGCCCTTATTCAGTCAGCATCTGCTCCCGGTTAAGCAGGGTGATGTGTAGGAGACTAATCTCGTGCATGGGAACCTGCCGGGGGATGAAAAGGAGGGGAACCCATAAGCACTGTTCCCAGCACGTAGCATCTGCCCCTCACAAACAACTCCCCTTGTTCTTCCCTCACCCCCTTCAGTCTACAGGGATAGAAATTCTCTGCAGGATGTCGCCAATGCTGAACCCAGTGTGTGCGGGACACAGAAGGAAGCTGAGCCGCCCCATCACCCTCCTTCCGCTCGCAGGCTCCTGGAGTGGCCAGCACCTTCCCATGTCTGTTTGTCCCCAGGACATCTAGGTCCCTGCTGGAAAGTGCCCACTGCCTAGGCAACATACAGTCTTGCTCAAAACACATCACCATCATCTGAAACAAGACCTTTGGTGTTGGCTCAGATTAGGGCCAGCAGTGTCTCCTGTGATGTCTACCCTTTGAATTTTTCATCACAGCTGGGCCAGCTGCGAGCTTGGCATGTCCCTCACCTCCCACTCCATCTACCCAACTGAGTGGGATTCACAGGCAGAAATGCACCTGGAAGGAGCTTATGAGGGATCCAGGGACTCAAATGACGAATGCCAGGAATAGGCCACTGACCAAGAGGAGTTCCAGGCCGACCGGGAGGAGTGCTGGGCTGACTGGGAGCAAAGGAAGGCCGCCTGGGACGAACTGGCATGGCAGTACACCACCATGTTTTCCACCCTCACCTCGGTGAGGGAGCGCATAGCGTCATGCATGAAGCGAGCCACCAGCCACTTCCCTGCCTCTCCCCAGACCCATGGCTTCCCCTCCAAGCATCCTCTGTGGCTGCCAGGGACCCAGAACATGGGGCAGTGGGACCTCTAGGGCAGCCAAAGCCTCCAGACTATGCAGAGGTAGGCACCACTCCTAGCACCATGGCTGAGCCCCCCACACCTCTCCCTGTTCCTGCATTCCAGGTTCTTTTCTCGGTCCCTCCCCTTTTGTATGTTCCCCAAATAAAGAGTCCTGGGTGGTTTTTTTTTTTTTTTTTTTATACAAAAGATGTCTTTATTGTTTGCTCTGCAGGAGAGGAGGAAGGTAAGAATAGAGGGCAGGGGAAAGGAGAGGTGGGGGATGAAAGGCACAGAGGGAATGCAGCAGCCCCTTGTGGAGAGGCACAGAGGAGAGTCTCAGAACTGGCTTTGCATGAAACTCTCCTTCAAGGCCTCTCTGATAAGCACAGTCCCTTGTGGTGCTCTCTGTATGGCACTGGCGTCCGGCTACTCAAACTCCCTGGACAGATGTTCAGCCTCAGCCCCCTACCCTGGCAGAAAAGTCTCCCCCTTTGCTTTCACATAGGTTGTGGAGCACACAACAGGCCACCACCATGAAGGGGATGTTGCACTCACTGAGGTCCAGGTGGATGAGGAACTCCTGAACTTCCCTTTAAAATGGCCAAACGCACATTCCACCACCCAAGGGCGGATACAGGGCTGGGCGAACGGGGCGGCCGCCCCGGGCCGCGAGCTTAAAAAAGCTCCGCGCATGCACCGTGGCAAAAGGGGGGCCCTGCGGAGTTATGCTGCCCGGGGCCCCGCAAAACAGTCATCTGCCCCTGCCGCCACCATACGGCACCTACTTAGCTTGGTTTGAAGTGCTCTTTGGTGGGGTCCAGACTGTCTGTGTAGGAATTCATGAGCCAGGGGAACAAGGGATAGGCTGCGTTGCCCAGGATTACGATGGGCATGTCCACCTCCCAGACTCTGAGAGTGTGTTCAGGAGAAAAAGTGTGGGCATGGATCTTTCAGAACAGGATGGAGTACCAGAAGATGCAGGAGTCATGCACCTTTCCCAGCCATCCAACGCTGATGTCGGTGAAGCGAACCTTGTGATCCACGAGATCCTGAAGCACCTTGAAAAAGTACCTTCCTGTTGATAAAGTCCGAGGCACGGCGGTCGGGGGCCAGGATGGGGATGTGCATGACATCTATGGCCTCTCTGCAACTGGGGAAAATCATGGTGGCAAAGCTATTCACAATCATGTCCATGTTTCCCAGAGTGATGACTCTCTGTAGCAGCACGTGGTTGATGGCGTTGGCTACTTGTATGAGCACAGCCCCAACTGTGGATTTCCCCACGCCAAATTGGTTCCCTACTAAGCCATAGCTGTCTGGCATAGCAAGCTTCCACAGTGTGATGGCTACGCGCTTCTGCAGGGGTGTCCAGTCGCCTGAGGGCAGGGGCCAGCCATGCATACATATGGAAGTTCTGCAGCCACTGCTGATCATCCCATCCCTGCAGGACGATGCAGTTCCATCAGTCTGAGCTTGTCTCCCTCTGCCAGAAGCGACGTTCCACAGTGTCCAGGGGATTGAGGGACATATGCAGCAGTAGGAGTGCCAGGACCTGGGTGAACATGGGCTGGGGTTCATCCTGCTGGTTCCCGTCCTGCTGGAGCAACATGAGGGCAGTGTGGAAGTACTACACCATGAGGCGCAGCATGAGGCCCATGAGCCTGGCATGGCTTTACAGCAGCTCTGGCTCCACTGTGTGAGTGCTGTTGTGTCCGCAAGGGCAACCAGAGCACAAGGCACATGCCCACTGCATCCCTTTTACGAGAGGCAGTGGAGGAGAGGCGTGTTTGACGTGGCTGTATGGAGGAGCCCCCTGTAAGCACATGTCACAGCTTGTTTGACCCAGCAGCCACAAGAAGTATCTACCCTCCTGGTGCCCTCCCCAGACTGCTTTATTTCGGACTAATTCAAACTAATTTTGATGCTTCCCTGTAGTGGGAACACTCTATTTTGAATGTGTTAAATCGGGAGCTACGTCGAATTTAGTAATTTTGAAATAGTTTCCTAGTGTAGACATGGCCAGGTACAATTGATTACTACTATGGCAGCACTCTTATTTTACTCACAGAAACTCTGAAGCATTTAGAAAAAAAGCACGATGGGAGAAATAGGTAAGCGTCTTTTAGAAAGGTTTTAAGCACCCATCTTCCCATTCCCTGTTGCCTCTTTCAGTAACTGCTTCCTACTGAAGTGACATAAAAAATGCAGCTACGTAAATGCTTACCATCTCCTTCAATCACTCGATTACAGTGGAAACAAACATCACCAAACAGCTGTGGATGGGAGAAAATACATTTTTTTAAAAAGTTAAAAATGTATCATACTTTATTCTTTAAAAAAAACACATTACAAATAAGACACTTCATCATGAAAGATAAAATAATGTTTAATCGATGTTATCTTCTCTTCCAATTCTGTTTCGTTTCATTTTTGCAATTTTTTCATCTTGAAAAATTAGGCTAAGTTAGTTTTGTTTATCACTAGTTTATAGTCAATTTGAACTTTCAGGTTCTCCTGCATATCTAGAACAATGAGTTGTTCTTTCTGTTGCGTAATTTCAATTTATATGTATACAGCCACCCACTCACTCTACTTTTGGCCCAAATTGTACTTGTTAATATCTATAGTATTATGGCATTTATTATTTACAGCTATACTATCCATATTTCAAAAGTCAAACCTTTTATCTGTAATGAATACATGTCCCAGAACTCTGGAGCTTATTACCCATTTTTTGTGTGCCAAAAGGTGTGTGCATGTGACACTTTACAGTTTGTTCTGTTTAAAATAGCTGCAAAAAGTTTATTTTAACAATTAACGGAATACACATAATATTTTGTGTAGTCATTCAAATATATATGCTATGCTCCTAACTGTGGTATCGGTGACTATAAAAAGCGGGTCTGAAGGGGGAAAAGGTTAAGGGAATATAATCCATATATGAAAACGAAAGTAGTCACTAGGTGGTGTTCTCTGACAAATGCATTTGTTGTTTACAGTCATGGCAAAAAGGTGAGTCAATCAGGGTTGCACGGCATATTTTCATGTGAAGTCATATCATTATGCAGTTAGCAAGCTGTGAGGAGAGCAACCCTATTAACTAAGGCCCAGTGTCAAACCCTAGACACCAAGCAACACATTTTTAGATTTTTGGAAAAGATGGGTGCCATTAGCAGCATTGACCTTGAAGATACTACACAGTTCACAGCCAATAGTCCTTCATTCACTAGTAAGTACGGATTTGAAGGCTGAGTATATACTGAATGTTTTGTGAAGTCCTTAACAGTTTTATTTTTAAACACTTGAATCATTTGCAGAATAGAACAGGCAGTCCCCGGGTTACGTACAAGATAGGGACTGTAGGTTTGTTCTTAAGTTGAATCTATATGTAAGTCGGAACTGGCGTCAGCCGCTGCTGAAACTGATCAGTTTCAACCGCGGCTGAATCTGGACGCCAGTTCTGACTTATATACAGATTCAACTTAAGAAACCCAGGCATTCCCAAGTCAGCTGCTGCTGAAACTGATCAGCGGCTGATTCCAGGAAGCCTGGGGCAGAGCAACTCTGCCTCGGCATGTACACGAAAATAATTCCACCAGATTTACAACAATTACAAAGTATTCAGTATTTTGATGTGCCAAAAGATAAAGCTACAACACCATATTCAAATCAAAATTTAAGATTGGGAGGAGCTTAACCATAAATAATTCAGACATGAAGCACAGGTATCAAGCACCTTAACAGCAAAGGAAGAATTTTAAATACAATACTCAACAGTAAGTGTAGCCATTATGACTGCATAAGCACTAAAGACTCAATGTGACTTGAGCAACATTAAATATCAAGGGAGCTGCACAGTTCTGAACAGTTTGCAAATGGGGAAAAAATGGACACAAGATGACCTGGGAAAAAAGCAATTGCAGTAGCGAAAACATGAAAAAATACTATGATGCCAATTCAGAAAAGCAGCCTGCCACATGGTGCCCAGTCGGGCACTCAGCCTACCTGTTACTGGCTCCACTAAGGACAACTATTAATTGCATAGAGGTGAGTGACAGTAAATTAGCCTGGAACACCTGGCCCTAATGAAATATTATAAAGACTCAATCTGGAGAAGACACGATGGCCCAAATTCACAAAGTTACTTAGGAACCTAAGCACCAAACTTATGGGCATAAATCTTGGGTTTCAGTGCCTGGGCTCAAATGTGAGCTACAGAACTCGCACCAAATTCAGGAAGCACCCAAATTGAGTTAGTGTCTAAATTTACAGGGTCAAATTTCTTTAGTACCTAAATTTTTGCCTCTGGGTATGAGCATTATTGTGTCTCTCTAGACATCTGTATGCCTATCTCCCATGTAAGTCTCAGAGTGATTCACAAACTGGGAGAAGATGGCTATCTAAGTCATATGAGGGTCCTGATCTTGTAAGCATGCTCAGAGACTGCGCTTCCTGGTCTGCAGACCAGGGAGACGTGGAGCAGCTTTTCTCACCCCGGAGTACACGGGCGGCGGGACCATTCGTAACTGCGGATCCGACATAAGTCGGATCCGCTTAAGTCGGGGACTGCCTGTAGTACAATGTTTAAGGAATTACAATACTGCTAGTTGCTACTTTTCAAGTCACAGATGGTTGTCAGAAGGCAAACCTAGTCCTTTAGCGTTAGTCTTCTGTTTCCTATAGATATGAGTTTATGAATCATGAATTTATTAATGGCTAAGATGCAAAATTGAACCTTACCTGATTGTAATGGGTTTCGCAATATGCCAAGCCCTTCCTCTCGTAGTGACGATGACCAAGAAATGGCTTTTCACACTTTGCACAAACAAAATGCTGCAAAGAAAATGGTATGAATTGTCTCTGGACTGGCTGAGTTTATGGCATTTCTTTATAAACAGATACACAAGCCTCAGGATTGAACAATATTAGAGGACAGTCTACTGGTAAAGCCTTCTTTAAAATGAAAAACATTTTTATTATTTGTAAATTTAAAACAATCCCCCCCCCCCCAAATATTGCTCATTTAAAAATTTTATTTTAAAGAAAAAACCGAACAAAAATTCTGGATTCGTTGTTAGTTGATAAATGGCACTGATATAATGAAAGTTTATTGCTATACAGAAACTTTCTTGTTATACTTCTTGTTTGGCAATCAACAGTAATCTGATCAATGGTTGTGTGTTTTTATTTATTTATTTTAGGAGGAAGGATGAGCTTGTGATTTTAGGAGCAAGCGTAAGCAAATACGAATTCAATTTATGACTCTCCTGTTTTGGGAATCAATTTCTTTTTGCCTCAATTCTCTCAACTGTAAGATGAACATATTAATACTTGCATGCCTCACACCAAATGTGATATAAGGATACATTTATTGATTGAGATTTTTGAAGCAGTTTGTGGGATTTAGCTACATATACTCCATTAAACGTAATGAAATGTGTATAGTTAAATCTTCTGCAATGCTTTGAAATGCTCAACAATTGTAAAATGCTTGAAGATTTTCAAACTGAAGGCGTCATAGAAGCCAAAGTAGTATTATGGTACTCTGCAACAGAATCATAGAAATGTAGAACTAGAAGCAATCTCAATATGTCATCTGGCCCATTCCTTTGCACTGAGACATGACTAATTATCTTTAAAGAACCCCTCACAGGCAATTGTCGTAATCTGTTCTTAAAAACTTTCAATAATGGAGATTCCACAATCTCCCTAGGTCATTTGTTCCAGTGTTTAACTAATCTTACAATTAGGAAGACTTTCCTGATGTGTAAACCTGTGGCTTTCAAACATTTCTCATTTGTAGACCTCTAAAAATTTTCAATTGGAGTTGCAGCCCCCTTTGGAAATTTAACCTGTGGTCTTCAGGCTCCATTTCACAGAAATCTTAGACTGAAAACTGACTGAATTTAGAACTCAAATATAAATGTTGCATCTGCTTTGCTTGGCATTTGAGGCTGAATGAAAAATGTTTCCAAACTTGAGCTTCTATGGTTACAATAGTATTTCCAGGTTTTGACCTGTAGGTGGGGTTATACACATACTTTTAATTGATCAGAAAAACAAAATGCTTTTTCTGGGATCTGAATCTTTATTTTATATTTCTTCATGTC